TGCGTATTAACATCTCCAGTGTCAATGAAATTAAAAAAATAAATAAAAAATTGCCTATTCCTTTGTATCTCATATGGATTTTATAATTATAGGAATTGGGTCTATCACCGATATGGGACTCGAATTTTTTTCTTATTTTTTATTCACGTATTTTCAAAAAATCACAATTTTAAAATACATTTTCCCTTTAAAATGAGACTCAAACAAGGGCTAATTCAGTGGCTTGACCCTTTAATATCCAACGTATGGACCAACAAATAACGATGGGCCTGATATTTTTTATTTAGTTAAAGATCAGCCTAACAAAGCCCAAACTTTGCCATGTTATGTACCGACGTCTTAAATATTTGGGCTCTACTCAGGCCATAAGTATTATTGCCTATGGTTCTAATGGCTGACACTTCAAAAGTTTACTCTCTAACATGTTTGAAAGCTGTTTAAATTATAAATAAATAAAAATAAGTGTGTGTGAATAAGTGAATAATACTTGTGGATCACATGGAATATATGGATAAAAATTGATTTAATCAATTATTAATAATCTATAATTTATAAGCAATAACGGAACACAAGGGTGAAATCAAGATATCTAGCGAAAATCACTCTACTCATGTTCATTAGTCATTAGATGAGAGTCAATTGGACTTTCCAAAGCAACTATACGATACTTGTGTTATTTTCTTGCGTTCGTTAAGTGTTTTGCACGCTATTTCCTTATCTTAATATATAATGTATTTTAATGCTATATTTTGATTTGACGTCACATCCACGCCTTTTAGCAAATAAAGAGGTGCAAATAGGTGGCACAATCATTGTAGGACACATTTGGTGATTGGAATAGGTTGTGGGGAAGTCACTAACTGCACCATTAAAATCATTATTCATCTCTACAAGTTTTAGTTGGGATTGTGCCCAAACATTTGTGTGTAGCGTCACCTATATGAGTTGTGTTGTTCATCGTTAAGTTAGTTTTTGCGTGCAATTATTGTAACATGATTATTTGACCTTTTTCTACCTCATTCTCAATCATAAATGCATCTAAACTATTTAACCAAAATGATTTTCCATGATCATATTCAAGCTGTATTAATTTTGATCACATATTTTTTTATAGATTTCAAAACGTGTATGATCATGAAAAGAGACCGTTCAATTAAAATATGTCATGATTACATGGACGGATGGTCCACCACATGTATGAAAAAAGAATAAAACTTGAGCAGAAAAATCAAGTTATGCCTAGCACTCTCGATTTATATTACTTTAAACATATCAAAAATATCAAGTCATATCAAAGAAAGGCTAGAGTATAAACTCCTTCAAAATCGCTTGAGCCCATTTACATCTTTGAGATTTCTATTTAACCTATTCATCTATTTGTAGCCTTGTACGTAAGGATGGGCGCGGGTCGGTTCGGTTCGGTTCGGTTCGGTTTTTTTCGGTTCCAGAAATTTTCGGGTATTTAGTAAATGGAACCGTCGGTTCCAAATATAATTTTGGAACCGTTGGGTTCGGTTCGGTTCGGTTCGGTTCCGTACTATTAAAATTTTTAACATTTAAAATAAT